AGAAGTAACAATTATTCGTGGCAGTTGTCAGTTCGCGCTCGTCCTTTGTGTACTTTTACGTTCTTTTCACGCGTCCTTCTTTGTGCTCGAGCGAAACACTTTCAAGTGTCGAGCTGTGGTAGGTCCGCACTCGCCCTGTGTACGTTCTTTCTGTGCGCCCTTTATGCTTGTGGAGCAAACTGCAAGTTTCGAGCTGTCTGCAGTTATTTGCCTTACATTACAATTTGGTGCTTTAACGTGCATTACTTCGCTCTTGAGGTGAAATAATGCACAATAAATGGTCAACTACCTCTGGGAAGACATGTTTCACTTTCGTGTTATACCGAATTTCGTGGCAGAGGGATTAGCCATGTTTTTGTTTTCTTGTGCTCACTGAAACGTCCTGAGCATTGGCTTACTATAGTTGCACTTTGGGGGTAAATTATAGTCTGGCAATTTCTAACTTTGTTGGTTATGCTTTGTTATATTCTCCCGGCTTCATCATTTTTTCGTTCGCATACTATCAAATGAGCTCTGCGGAGGCAAATTATTCTTACATCATTATATCTGATTTAACAACATTGTCCCTACAAGATCTTGAAAATTTCTTAACCACAACTGAGTGAAAACAAGATATGAATGGTCGTCGTGTAGCACTCGTTATGGTATTTTAGTGCGCTTTATTAGTTAACTAACATCAATTATGCTAAATTTTTAATATTGTCACGGGGCCATGACGCTGACGAAGGCAGCAGTGGACGTATGCATGATGAAACTCTTTATTTGGCCAAACTTACGGCCGCGAAACGTAAACTCGCATTACAGCAAGCAATGCACGATGCACGCTGATATCGGCTCGCACAGCGTCGGTCGTCGATAAACTGATCATTGTTGGGACGTGCTGCATTGTATTCATCACGCGCTGAACTTTTCAACACTATTACGGGTGGTCTCACAAGCTCTGCAATAAGCTTGCGTGTTTGCGTCCTGCACGCAATATTAACAAAATGATCTGCTTCGATCATGAAGCCTCTCGATACTGAGACGCGGTTTGGGCCGAGCATTGCTAACAGGCTTTGTGGGCCTAAACCAAGTATAGTAACATTGAAAAACAAACGTGCGTGGCAACATTTACTTTAGTGCCAAGTGCGTTTCGTTACGTTTTTAAACTTCAAGATGACCTATCCAAATTAGTTGACCAATTCTATACGGTATTTTTTTCGGCTTTTTTTAAAGGCGTGATAAATATGAGATCACGCCACTGCACTCATACGCTATACCACATTGCAGCGCTCTCTACCGTTGTTTAAGCAGGAGAACCGTGCAAATTAATGAGATTCTCTGTATATATTTCAATGCTTGCTCTTTAAGGTCTTCCGGCACGCTTTGGCCAGCTGTCAGTGTCTCTAAGCCCAGCTGCACGTGAGCTTTCCGTGCTGCTGAGCTTGCTCAACACGACTGCCTCTGCAATCCGCTAGAGTGCACGAAAGTTTACTAAGAAAAACTGTACCTCTAGATGTCCGTTGCATGAACTAGTGCTTTACGGTGGTAGGTGAAGAAATGTTGCTCATAAATGAAGCTTCCGACACTCTTAGTAGCGCTATAGATTGCATTGAAAACACGATTTCATTTGAACAATAGCAATGTTTTACAAACCAAGGAGTTCACCGGTTGTATACGCACGACGACTGGCAAATTTGCGAGAGTATTGGTACTTTGCCGGTGGCTGTTTAGTGCGCTACCTACCGTCCCGCGGCGGTGGTTAATGTCACAAGGTGGGGGGGGGGGGGGGCAGCAGCCTAGGAATGAGATGTAGTTGGTTGGTGCTGATGTTTAAAGGACACTAAAGTGAATCAATGAATCAATTTAGACTGAGAAATTGAAATTTCAAAACTCTATTGTTAATTTCGCTAGGCTATTAACGGCAGAGAAAATATAGGTTAAAATTTTCATCCTAAATTTATCGCCAAAGTTTCTGCACGCGACGTCACAACATTAAAAATGTTTAAGTCATTCGTAATTCGACAACACTGGCTCAACGAAACTTTCTGAAACTTGGTATGCTGAGTCTCCAGCCTTCTCAGACGACAATGTACTTTATTTTTACTTAATAGGGAATACGTAGGCCTTGGTAGACACCGTAAAGACATACGACTTCACAAGGATTGGTACGCAAATTTTAAGATGGCGTCATCACGCACACTTTCTTTTTCGCACGTTTTTTCGTTTAGGAAGCGTCTTCTCGTGGTAAGCGAGGTGATTTTTTGGTATTGTGAAACACTATTTTATTAATACAAGAAAAATCGGCTTCTTTAGTTTAATGTGAAAGGCACCATGCAAGGCTTCCTGAGCATGATCACAAAACGCTGCCGATCGGTAGTCGAGGCTCCTGAGAAAACGCGAGCCAAATATTATAGCTTCAGTGGAGTGACTTGTTGGGTGAGTTGGTTAATTATTACGGTAGCTTTTAGCGCGAAATAAATACGAGAGATGGATTTCGTTTGTCCGTCTCTCGTGTTTATTTCGCGCTAAAAGCTACCGTAAAATATTATAGCGCCGGACGCGGCCTGGCATTCTCAATAAATTCTCAGTCAGCTAAATATTGTTTTCTCTTCTCTCGACAAATGACAATACTAGCTCGAAAATCACTCGTCACAGCCATTGTATTAGCCATCGGTTGATTTAAGCATGGGACACTTGGTAGTTACATGGGCCACCGCGGGAGGCCGCGACTAGTTGACGCGTGTGATCGCTCTAAAAAGCCGCGTATTCGACGAAAAAAAAAAAGAGGAAAAAAATGCTCAAGGTCACGAGGCGTGCGTGACGTATTTTTTTTTTCTCGTGCCATCCCTCCTTGCTTTCCTTCCGTTGCTTTTGCCGGGATGCGAGAATAGAGAATGCAATTGCAGTGTGCGACAAGTCTTTGTAACTCCGTTCGTACTGGACGAATTCTGAAAAAAAATTCGGTGGCGGATTTGTGAGTCAATAAGCTACTTCATTCAATCCATTCCATGGCTACTTGAAAAAAGTGTGGCAGGGCCCCTATGAAGTACTCTCATTGCTATACGTATACGCTAAACGCAAGGGTAATTTGTTGGAGCACATGTCAATTCTTTCTTTCATTCATAGTGAGGGCCTCGTTCAGACAGACTTGGTGCCTTCAATTAGCATACGAGGGATAATTGGTCAGCTGCCATTTTGTATTAAGATTACGTACTGTTTGACGCCAAACGGGCAAAAAAAGTGATCCACGCTTGCCGTCAAGGTTACTGGTGGCACTTACGGACGCTCCTATGTTTAATGCACATATATACCCCATAAAGTGGACGGGGGAATAGACGCCGTGGTAGATGAGTTGGTAGAGCATCGGGCCCATTATTTAAAGGTCGCAGGTACCGTCTCTCCCTACGGCAAGTTATCTTTTCGTCCACTTTCTTTACATTTACAAGACAATTACATTCCAACATCCCCTGTACTTTTCTTGACGTGATCGTGTTAGATATCATTATATTGTGTCTAACAAAGAAAGTGGGCCTTTAAATGTACACTTCTGTCCTTGCAATAGACAGTCTAGGATAGTTTGAAATGACCAATGTTACGTTCACAGCCGTTTGTTTTCATGCGGCATGGTCGAGGCATGCACTGTGAACTAGAGCTAGGCTAGCAGCTGAGGTGATGCGCGCTGGGCCTGATTAGGCAAACCTATTCTGCTCCGAAGAGACGAAGCGTCCTCAAATATTTTTTAGACTTTTATCGGCTCTTTGACTAGCCTGTGTAACGCTGTCCCTCCGTCCGCACCGTGCTGCCATGACTTTCTGCACCTACACTTCCTTTGGAGCAGAAAATGGTGTGCAGCAAGACGGGCTGAAGTTGTAATGCCCAGAATGCGTTGTAGACTTCTAAATCCCAATTTTTACATGAACAGAGCGGGTTTGGCAATCTCCCCTCTTTGTTCCTATTCCAACGAACTCGAAACTATCGAACCCTTCTTGTTTAGCTGCCGAGTTTTTCCTTACACAGAAAACGAAGTATTGAAATAATATTGCGTCAATGTGGTCTACCAGTTGCATCGGCCTTTCTGTTATTATTTTGGACCTCTGCGCTGGGTCACTCGGACAGGAATGTTTTCAAAGCTGTCGAAAAGTTTATATGCGATTTGTATAGATTTGGTAGGTGTATCAACTACTAATAAATCTTTATTCAGCCTTCATAGTCAAAAGATCCTCAGTCACTGGGAGGTTACACAAGATAGCGAAATTTAAGGTTATTATTCTTAATTAATGTCACATAAAAATTAATCTCAAAATTATTTTATCTCACTAAATATAATTATAAATCATGATCCGCCCGACTCTTGGCCAATCCCCTGAATGGCTAGGTGCCAATGTTCCACGGAGCATCTTTATCATCAATGTGGCCAGCTCACCGCTGCGATCGCGCTGACAGGCGGGACGCCGTCGCGGCCTGCTTCCCGCTAGAGTGCGCGTACCTTTCCCGGCTGTCGCCGGCGTTGCGAGGGTTAGCGAAGCCGATCGCGTTCGCGAGTGGCGACGTCAACACCGAAGAGGCGCGAGCCAGGGAAGCAGAACGCAAGCGTCGGCAGTGGACGACCAGTGACATCGATGAGGTGCGAGTCAAAAACACCGATCGCGTTCGAGAATACAGATGGCGCGCGGGTAACACCAACGAGACGCGAGCCTAGGAAGCCGAGCGCAAGTGTCTCTGACGCGTCCCGCTTCCCTTATCTTTGCGTTTTAAACAAACATTTACTTGAGTATACGCTATACCGAGTTTCGCTTCAAACCATTCTTCCAGCACCCGCGTCGACGCCCATTTCAACTGGGTCAACACCGTACACACCACTGCTGCTTGTCATCGCATCAGGGTTCCTTTCGGTGAGATGGTCCGTAGTTTTTTTTTTCAAGAATACTTATTTCGTTGAAGCTCTTATGCGGAGCAGTTACACAAACCAGGCGACATTAGTGAAAAAGACCACATTATTTGGACATTGTCACACTCACCTGAAAATGCCCACTCGTCGCAGTTTCACCTTCGCAGACACTACTCGTTGTGCTCGGCCTACTGCGCAGCACCTTGTGATGTTCGCGGGTCTCAATGAACGAGACGCGTTTACAAGACTGCGTAGCATTGATTGGAGTAACAAGAAGACGCCGAAGTGGGGCGTAGCTGTCGATAGCTGGAAGCAGTCCCTCGTGGGGGCTCGCTCGATATTTGACCCTCTTGCACCCTCCCGCTTACGTCACTCGGTGCGTCTCGTGATGCCGGTCGCTGACTCCGGCGTCTCGTAGCACACCCCACCAGCCGAAACAGTGATATTGTCTCGAACATCCGCTCCCGACCTACGTCATAACCGACGAGCCGAGGGCGCATACTTGACGTATTTCACGGATGGTTTTAAGCTAGCTACCTTCCGTACTTGCCAGAACAACGACCACAGGCTTCGTTCTCCAACGTAATCTCTCTCTGTGATGATTCCCAACATCGGTTTTCACAACCTCCACACATTCGTCATCAGCCTTGTAGGGCTTACATCAACTTGAAGAGCACCTTTATGTCCCAGAAATAAGAAGAAAATAGACCTTTTGACATAGTTCTCGAAGCAAGTCGTTCTGGACTGGTTACACACTTTATATGGAGACAGAATTTACTCCTACACTGATGGCTAAACCGCCCAAACCAGCTCCACTGGAGCAGCCGTCATCCCATCGTGACTCGTGAACCACACAAAATTTGTCGCGTGAGCACATTCACTAGATTGGAGCTTAGTGATATACTTGTTGCCGTCCAATACATCAACTAACAACCAGCTCATTGATGGGAAGTATTCTGCGTCTCAAACGCACTAGACGCAACAGTGTCTTTCGACAGCACTTCGTCGCGCAACGAACAACTTGCCTCGGAGATACGAGAAACCCCGCGGTATGCCATTGGAGAAGGACACAACGTCGAGAGGTTGTCAAGCGGTATTTCCGACTACGATCTCGCTGATGAAGCTGACAGAAAAGCACACAGAAAAACAAACCTAGTTTTAATGCTTTTGTGAAAGATTGATGCGACTCAACACTTTTCCTCACATAAGCGCCAACTTAAGCAAGTAGTGCACAGCAGGACAATGCAGAAGTGGTAAGCATCAGAGTTCACATACAACCGATTGTATTCTATAGAACCATCTCTACGACTGCAACCTGGTATTTACTGAAATTCAGTGTTGTGCCGTCTACGCCTGAGTGAGGCATTAGCCAAAGCGTTGTCATTTGAGATGGCTGACAGGGTCCAGTACAACGATTGTGTTCTCGAAACAAACTTGAGCACCTCTTGTGTTCCGTGCACCTTAAGCAAACGAGAGGCTTCGCAGCCGTGCTGCTCTGTCGCCTGGATCGAAATGATTTCACCATCGAAAATATATTCAGGCACGGCACCGCCCACCACAGTTCTGAAAGACAAGGACAGTCCTGCTGTGATTTCTCGACTCCGGACTTATCTTCTGTGCGATGAAACGCGGAACTGTTACGGTGGCTGTAACACGCTCTTCTCTCCTTTCAATTTCAGTTTATTTTCAACATCAAGATACAGTGCACAATGATGTGGTGGGCAGTGTTATGTGGGCTCGTTTTCAGTGTGTGTATTAAATGTTGTGTGGAAACGATATCGTTCTTTCGTGGGCGTCTGTGGCCACGTCTCGGACACCCAGTGAATATAAAGAAACTGCACGTTGTAAGAACATCATAACAAAGTAACGTGGCCACAGATACCCACGAAACGACGAGGCTGTTAGTGCAAAACTTTTAATACACACACTGAACACGAGCGCACATAACACTGACAGAAGCCCAATATAACAGAGGCTAAAGAAAGTACCATTCCCCAGTATGTGGCTTGCGGACAACCCATTCCTTTTTACCCTCGAATGTTTCCTGGCTAAATACCATTGCAAGATAAGAAAAAAAAAACTTTTAGAATTTCAAGGAAAGTAGGGACACTGCAAGTTACCAGTGCATTAGTTACCCAGCGTAGCATTGTTTGAAAAGTTGATGCTGTCATATTCCAATTTTTTTAACGAATCACCGCATGATCAAAATTAAAAGTGGTGTAGATGAACGATGGATCATTTGTCACTTTGTTTAATGTTTGCGCCTTTTTTGTTGTTGTCTTCGCTAGTATCTTACAACTGCTCGTACTTACCTACTTATTTTACGTTGGTATTGTGTAGTATGTTATAATGTAAAACTCTCTCATTCATTAAAACTCTCTCACTGATCCACCTACATGTATACACTGTGGAGAGAGTCTAACCGTTTTGCATGTCCTCATACAATGTCCTGTGCTTCACCAAGCACGACTGACCCCTTTCAGGGAGCTCTATCGATATCCCACTTCATCCAGCGCTGTTTTTATCACTTGATGCAGTGGTTGACCTTAAGAGACTTCTTCATTATCTTGGGAAAGTCAAATTTTTAACAATGATATAATTCCACCCTAGCCACCAGGCTGCGCCTCAAGTGTGAGGTACCGCCTGGTGCATAAAAAGTATGTCTGAGCCTTCGCAGTTCTTGCTCAGGCAAGGACTTCAGCTGCGAGGGTCTTGGGCCTTGCGGACTAATTTGTCATCACAGACTTCAGCCAACGAAATGAAGGTTTTTTTTAACAAAGTGACATTCTTTTTAAATGCACCGTGTTTTAAATGGTTCGTAGATATTTGCTACACATCATTTGTTTTAATTTTCAAACTAATAACCGAAATGAAACAACACTTGTACTGGCGCTCTTTGGCCTTAGATGCCCTTGCGCCAATAAAACGTAACGTAATAATAATGAGATTTTGAGGAAATATCAATTTTCTCAAATTAACTAGTAATAGGAATGAGTATATTTTATTTCTTCTTGCTGTTTCCTCTATTTTCACAAGTTTCTTGGTAAACTGTTATGTATATCGCTGTAGAGGATAATTAGACAACTGCCGTGTCAGCGAACACTCGCTATGTGCTTGGGCTGAGCAGAAATCTTGCGTCTATGCACATTTTAAAACAAGAATAAATTGATGTGAATAACTCGAGCATTTTCTTCACACCTCATATTCGGGGCACTCTGCATGACAGCAGTGTTACCCGTATTCATAATGTAGCATATCAACCTTTCGTAGTTCTTTTTTTTTCTGAACAATATTTATGATGGCCATTGTCACGACTTTAATGTTTATGTAGTTTACCTCATTTTAGTGGAGGCTATGTCGGGCCGCTTTACGGTCATGCTGTATTTACCATCAGCAACTCATGATTTAGCAATCGACAATTCATCACTTTAGTGTCCGTGAGCTACTACAACATTTCATTCATTCATTCATTCATTCATTCATTCATTCATTCATTCATTCATTCATTCATTCATTCATTCATTACTTTTTTCTCGTAGATCCAAATGGCTACCCCTGCTTCACGCGGTGATTCAAGAAATGATGGCTTCTGGCGCCGTCGCTTGCTTTTAGGTCTCGCTTGGGTGAACGCTATCCAATGTGCGCCCTCCGCGACCGCAAAGGAGGTCTATTCGCTATTCTGACTGACGGGCAGTCCGGGTTAGGACGCCTGTGTACAGGTTGCGTACAGCGCACGTTTCTGGCGGTTCTTCGTGCCGCCCTGTGGAGGCCCGTGGTAAACTAGGCAAACTAAGTTGGCCCTGAGCCAAACGCACTGCGAGCCTTTGCAGAACCGTGCGCGCCGTTTGCACAGCGCGGAGAGACATTGCCAAGTGCCATGGATTAACCCTTCTTTTGCTGCGTGTCTTACATAGGCAGGAAAATATATGTAAATAAAAAAAAAGCATCGTGTTGATGAGCAGAGAGGAAGTCGGCATGTACAGCATCGAACCCGGATTTGTGACTGCTACATCGAATGGCTAGTTTTCAGTCGATGTTTCAGAATAAAAATACGCAATGGTTCTAAGCTGTGGGGTCACCCATCTGTAAGTTTTGTTGCATCGCTATGTTTACTCCAAACGCCCTCCCTTTCCGTCATCCTCTTGCTTAAGTTCGTTTCTGCTTCATCTTCCCAGTAGTCCCGTACACTCCTTCTATAACAAGATTAATCACTCTTAGGATGCTAGAAAAAAACGCTCCCAGTGGTTACAAACTCTAGCACGCAGCCATTACCCGCCTTTTTAACGCTATAACGTTAAATAGATCGTTTCGCGGGAATTCCGGCGTTGGTGTCGGCGTCGGCTTGGCCTTGGTTGGTTGTGAGCAAAAAACCATCTTGTCCATGACTGAAAAATCGAGACAGATGCCAATAAAATAAATAATGAAGATTGTCATGACAGAGTGAAGATAGAACCTACACCGCCTGCGTGGCAAAGGCAGGTGCTCCACCACGCGCACGCACGCACGCACGCACGCACGCACACACACACACACACACACACACACGCACGCACAGAGAGAGAGAGACAGACACAACAGACAGAGACACACACACACGCGCACACGCACGCACACACACACACACGCACACGCACACACACAGAGAGAGAGAGAGAGACGCGCGCCTACACACGCGCACACGCACACGGGAGATATGAATGACATGTAGTAAAAGGAGGTTTCTTAAACGCATCATATACTGCGTGGCTGAAGCGTAGAATTGCTCCAGGCATCAAAGGATGGGAATTAAGCAACGAGTGGGTTTAAAGGCCTACTCCTTATAAAGCACTTGTAAATAATTATGGCGTTTTGGGCACTTCGCAACTGTGCTTGCAATAGGCATTGGATGATACTTTGAAACGACCAGTATTACGTGCACAATCGTTCGTTTCCCTACGTCATGGTTGAGGCATGAACCGAGAACCGAAGCAGGTTAGCAGATGAAAAGGCATGCGCATAAGGCCCGATTAATGTAGGCCCGTGTGCTCAGATTTGGGTGCACGTTAAAGAACCCCAGGGGGTCAAAATTTCCGGAGCCCTCCAATACGGCGTCTCTCATAATCATATGGTGGTTTTGGGACGTTAAACCACACAAATTAATCAATGAAGCCCAATTAAGCTATCGCGATCTACTCTTGAAGACGATAATCAAGCGTCCTCTAATTTTTATTCCAAGACAGCCTCCTGTACTTCACTTTTGAA